CAGTAATAGGGTATAGGGCAGGTGGGAGGGGGGAGAGAGGGGGTGGGTATATACATACATAATGAGTGAAATGTGCATCATCTGGGGGATGGTCATGCTGGAAATTCAGACTTGTGGGAGGAGGGGGGACAAGGCACTTATTGAAACCTTAAAATCTGTACCCCTATAATATGCCAAAAAAAATCAATCAATTAAAAAAAAGAGAGAGAGAAGATGCTTCATAGACAACTGGGAACTTAGTGTTGTTTTTCCTCCAGTTAAGGCTCCTATTTCTCTGCCTTTGCTGCCACCTTGGAGAATTCAGCTTTTCCCATTCTGAAAAATTACTGGATACTAAGCTCATATGCAGACAACAGGTAGAAAGAGCCTCTTTCCGAAAGACAAATATTTTTTTTCTGCATTTGGATAGGCCACCTCACTTAGAGTTAGTCTCCTTACCAGACCTACTGAAGAAACACTAACACAACATATACTCTGACTTTTTTCCTCTCCAGTATTAGTAGACAAGTAGTTTATATAATCATGTATAACAGGAGACATTGTATTGAAATACATCTTGTCAATTAATACTGGTCATCTGCTTCCACAATGCAAATAAAGGGCCCTCCCCATACCCTACTGAATATCCTCTATGCCATGAATTCTACATTTTAGGTCTGTTATTGGGAACACTGCATTTCTTGATCCAAATTTTGTTCTAGTAGAGATATTTTTGGCTTGAAACAACAGAAAATCTGGGCTCAACATGACTCAAAAATAAGAACATATATTTTCTAACATAGTATAACAGGTAAGTTCTAGGCATGAGCAAATCAAATATTCTAACAGTATTTTTTTAAAAGAATATTTTTCAGAGAATAATTATTGGCATGTGTTGTTAATCACCAATAAATATTAAGTGAAATAGCCAGATGCAAAATTTTATTTGAAATGTGATTACACTGTAATACAAAGGAAATTGATGAAAAACAAGTTGTAATTACCTTTTACTAGTAAGATTTCAAGATATTTTATTTCTTCTTACTTTACTGTTTTTTCCCAAATGAGATTGTACGTGTTTTGAAAAATTGTATTCACCTCTTTTTTGTAGCTATTTTTATTGTATATATTTAAGGTGTACAACATGATTTTTTGATATATTTAATACTTATCTTGATATACATAAACATAGTGAAGTGATTGATTACTACAGTTAAACAAATTAACACACCCATCATCCCATATCATTACCTTCTTTTTTGTGTGTGTTAGTAAGAGTGCCTAAAATCTACTTTCTTGGCAAATAACCAGCATACAACACAATATTTTTAACTATAATCTCATGTTGTACATTGGATTCTTCATGCAATTAATTTAAGGTAGATAATGGATAGATATGTAAATGTTATGTTTTTTATTTTTGTTTATAAGCATTATATATGTAATTTAATTAATTTTTAGTTAAACAAACCAATGGATATATAAAATTAAATAAAGTACTAAAGTTAGATAAATATTTTTTGGTAATAAAAATTCTTTCCTAAAATGTTCTTCTAGATTAAAACAATTGTGAAAATATTAAATGGTTGGTGTTATTAGTATGTGATTTCTTAAGGTATATATTTTGTAAATGAGCATAGTTTAATTTTTCTGTAAAAATAGCATAGTGAGGAATCCCATAAAAAATTGGAAGATATCTCAAATGTCTGAAAAACAAATGTAAACAATTTTAATAAAAGTATAAAAATGTTAAAGAAATTAAAAGATAAATGTTTTATATAACCAAAATATCCTATAAATTAACATGCTTTTTTATTTTTGCTCCACCCCTAAAATAACATACTTTTACAGGATAAAACACCACTGCATCAAGGAGAAATGGTTTGAGCAATTATCTATTATTATATAAATCCAAAAATATTTTACAGAAATTTAGAATATCAATAGATTCTCTTCTCTTTTCTGATTCATATGATCAATACATAGTTGCTTTATTTTTCTGAAAACATGTCACATATTTACTTGATTCATTTCCAGAATAATTGATTTAGAGCTTTGTCTTTACCAGAATTTCAAATTGGTTTTAACGTTTTTACTTGACAGAAGACATGTGCCTTCAACACATCAAGAATTTCTAGGTTCTTATTTACATAATTTGTGTAATGGTTCCTAACTTTACTTTAAAACTTCAAATTTAATATTCTAAGTTGGACCAATTCCTTATAAGCTTTCTTCATTTGCTTTTCTATATTATATTCCTGGGTTTCTTACACTAATTTTTGAAGTCCAGGTGTTCATTTTTCTCAAACAATTTTATATTGTTTTAGTAGAATACATCTTCAAGTAATTTTTCCAAAATTTTGAAGTCTTAGCTTTATGACCTCTTATCATTCAGTATTGCTGATATGAAGTCATACTAAATTTTAAATAAAGTCATTCTTCTATTTAGAAGAAATCTCATTTTTTTTGTTGTTGTTGTTGTTTTGTTTTCTTTTTTTCTGGAAGCTTTTGGATTTTCTCTTAAACCTTGAAGGTCTGCAATGTCACTATTTCATGCTAGGAGTGAGTACGTGCGGGGACAGGATGGTGTGTGTATAAGGTTTTCTTCCCCACATTGCTTTTGATCATTGTTGTTACTAAGTAATTGTGTGAGTTGTCCATTTGCATTAGATTGACTTTTGTAAAAATTTGAAATTTTCCCTCATATTTATTCTCCTTTATTGGCTTTGTTTTCTTCTTGTGAAATTCTTACTAGACTAATATTGGATACTCTATATCCGACCTCCAGGTCTCTTAGCTTTTCTTCTTTTCTATATCTTTGTTTCTCATCTGTATGTTGGTAAATTTTCTCAAATTTATCAACTTATCTTCTGGATTACTAGTAGATTTTTTTAGCCCTCCTATTGAATATTACTCTTCAGCACTATCCTTTTTAATTTTTAGGAGCTTATCTTGTTATATGAAAAATATATGCACATATATATGCTATATATCTTTATATGACAAAAATATATAAATATACATATGTGTTTATATTTTTATATAACAAGATAAGCAGCAGAAAGGCTGCTATATAGATATAATATACATATAGATGTATAGGTTTGAGAAGATATTGTATCTAAAAAACAAGAAAATTGCAGCCTTCTCTTATTCTATAGATGCAATCTCCTCTCAACCCTGTTTTATAGGAAAAGTTAATATTTAGAAGGTGCAGCGCTGAGAAGTGATGAGTCACTCCATCCCTGGTTGAAACATTCATCATACGTGTAAAGGGTAGCAAATACAGATGTCAAACTGCCACTTGTTGTTAAAAGAGATCTTCGAAAATGCACCTACCAAGGCAAAAGTTTAGAGGTCTATAGAAAAATGCTGAGCTCTGAAAGGTTTGGCATATTTGTTGAAACCTTTTTAAAAATGACAAGCTTTACCCCAAGCTGACCCTTTGAAATTCAAAAGTTTAGAGAATATAGCCTTGTTGAGAAAGTCAGCTCTTTAGCTAGACTGAATATCAGATATTTTTGAGGTTTGCAAATGATAACTTTTCTGCCCTAAATTAAAGTCAGTGTAAACTTAAGTCAGAATGATTATAAGTCACAGTTATGAGATAAGACTGGGACAGAGAAGAGACCAAGAATGGGGAAAAGGGAAACTTCAACCTGGTACTTCCTGTTGGATACCTCAAATATGCCCTGCAGGGCATTGGCTGCCTATTAAAGTAAACAACATCAATAGGAAAACTCACTTCTTAGGACAGAGGCTGAAGGCAAATCACTGTCTCATTATCCTAGCTCATTGAAAAACAGGTAGAAGCTAAGATACAAGAAGCTAAGGTATTTCAGATGAGCAAAATGCCCAGATTCATGCTGGAAACCTTCCAGGTGATGACTAAATATGAGAACCATATTTGGACATGAAGTCTGGTATTGGTTAGTAGCCATTGACCCATAATATCAAAGAATGCAAGTAAAATAATAGCCTACTGAGACTGTTAAAAGAATTGTGTTACCAATGAAACCCCAATTCTAAAATCAAAGGCCAATGTTTGCTAAAACTAACAGATGCTCTGACCCAAGAAGAAATAAGCTGGATCATAGTTACAATTTCAAATGAGTTAATTGTTTTATAAATCACTTAAATGCTCATAAATACTATAATTCTAGGAAGATGTCATTTAACAATTAATTTGGAAAAATAAATGTAAGTCAGAAATGGAAACAAGTTAAGAACAACTAGACTAATCCTCATGTCTTATAAATGAGGATGCTAAGTCGCATTTGGTTTTATTCTTTGCCAAATATCATATTTCTGCTAAGTGGTTGCATATTCATCATCAAACTCTGTTTTTCCAATTTTGAATATAGTTTTATACCATGTTATTTCTAATAAATCTATAATTCATCCTTTAATTACTTATATGGGCTAGTGCATAAAGAGCATAAGAATTACTTTGTTATAATACAGATCCTGATTCAATAAGTCCGGAGTAAAGCTTGAGAGTCTGCACTTTTTTCTAACTCCTACTTGCTATTGATGATGTTAGTCCTTAGACCATATATTAAGCAGCAAGGCTATGAAGTATTCATTCTTCCTACTATCTGCACAGTCACTTGATATGGCCCCTTAGAAAGTCATTTTTAACTCTGACCACAATTAATACATTATGATGTCTAACAAATACTCCAGTAATTTTAATTCAAAAAAGCATAAACAAGTTTTTAAATATTCATGGTTCCATAATTTTGCATAAATATCAAAAAACAACATTTTAGGAATTTCTTTGTGCTTCTTTTTTATTTTGGAAAGGACTATTTTTACTTAAAATCAGCATCTGTTATGGAAAAATATTTAGAATGCTTATTATGAAACTTTAACCAATATATTCCTTTTTCTTTTGCCGCAACTAGGAAATTGCCCACACATTATATATGTAGATAAAATGAATTTTTAATGAATGTATTGTTTGACTTCCCAAGTTTTCAGCTTTTTCACTGGCTAAAATCAAGACTATTAAAACTTACCTACCACCCCCTAACAACATGTAGCATAATAAAAGGAATTCAAGTCTGGAGGTCAGAAATGTTGGTTGGAGTTCTACCAAATAATCTTGGTGGAAAAGTAAATTCTATGAGCCTCCAAACATTCATCTGTAAAATTAAAATGCAGAGGATAATGATTTGAATATTAAATAAGATAAGGAATATGTCAATATGTGGTAAAATTAAACATTACACAAATGCTTATTATATTACTACTATTCCTCCCACTACTAGTACTAGTACTACCATTTTGTATCAAATAAGGAATTTAATTATGTCTGATCACTTAGCCATTTAACACAGGATTATTGCAGAGGAAAGATATTTTCTGCAAATTTGTATATTGGTTATAGAATTGACAGGAAAACTGAGTCCACCAAATAAAGACCATCTCAATTTATATGTAGGATATCATGCTAGTGACATAAATATCTAAAAACAGAGTTTAAAGAATCAAATTACTAATATTTATTTTTATTACTCTTAGGTAGATTTGAAAAAGTCTTAACATTTAGAAAGGAAGATTATATCTTGGTTTGCTTTTAATCAAACCTGATGCCCAAAAGAGAGAAGTATAGATTGTACAGAATATTAAATGTCAAAGAGAGCTAATTACATCTCATTTAAACAGCATTTATAAAATATTTTCAAATGTAAATTAACTTTATTATTTATTTTGTAATACGACCATTGCTAATGTCTAAAAGTTGTGATTGTGTGGTATATAATTTTTCTTAATTACATAATAGTTAATACTTTTTAGATTAATAATTTTAGAAATAACATTAGAGTAACATCTTTGAAATGATACATAGAGTAACATCTTTGAAATGATACATCAGTAATGTAGCTCTATGTATACAAATTTTCATAAATTTTTATAGTTCTAGATTTATTGTAAAAGGAATTAAAATATTACATGAGTTTGAAATTGCAAAATATGCTGTTGTTTACCTCTTCTGGTTCATTCCCTAGGCTGAGAACATTTTCTAACTCACATTAATAACTTGCTCCTTAAAATATTATATAATTATGTCATAGAATTTTCACATGTACAGAAAAGGCATTGTTAAAGGTTGTGACTGGAAATAAATAATTTATGAGGCATAACTAGTCAACTTTTAAACATTATTTTTTTATACAGTAAATCCAGGAAGCCATGTTCTAAAATTGTTTGTTCATGAATTTACTTTCATTGGTTGAAAAGAGCGAAAATATAGCTGTCAGCACTTGATAAGTGACTTTTTAAAGATGTGGGTATCTTTCCACGTAAAAGCCAATGACAGAACTTTGCATACTTTGGGGTAATGATATTAAGGAAATGATTGAAGTTCTTTTTATTTCTTTAAAGCATTTATCACTAGCTAAAGTTGTAATTTTTATTACTTTTTTAAAACTTTCTGTATCTTTCAAATACAATGTCTTTTTTGAGTTGCCCTCAGACATCTTCAGGAAGAATAAAATATTAAGTTTATTAAAAATAAGACGTTAAAATTTATATAGGATCATAATATACCAGTCAGTGAAGCCACCTCCATTCTGCAGCAAAAGACCTTGATTCAACCTCATCAACACTGTGCAAAAAGGTGACCAGGGCTGTTTTTATAGAATTTGCCACATAAACACATTAAACTAATGCTATGCCAATTTAGCACATAGAAAAATAAACATTATTTTAGAGCACAACTCTTCAAACTGATTATGAATGCAGTTAGAAGATAGACATTATTCTGCTGAATAACAGGAAGGTAATTCTATAGGAAAAGTTAGGCCTGGAACTGAGTTTAGAAATAGGGAGAAGAGTTGAAATTCTCTGAATAACAGATGAGAAGAATTAAAGAAAGTGTTAGGCAAATATATCAGAGTTGAAATGAGGAGAGAGGAACCATCAAGACAATGATAGTAGCCAAGCCTATGCAGTTTAATAAAGCCAATAAAATGTCCCCTAATTTAAGTAGCCAAAAATTAACAATAGAGATTTCTATTAATAGCATGTGATTTTAAGTTTGTTTGCTTTTTACTGGAGAATATTATAAGCAGTCCTTTCCCTGAGAATAAATAAAAGCTCTACATGATAAATAAACTTCTAGTACATGCAAGATTCATTTAAATAGTTATTTGGTCAAGGAAAGGATGGACAGGCAAAATATTGGCCACAGAGTAAAAATTCCAAGATAGCAGCAAAGAATAAGAATTTAGTGGAGGTTGAAAATAAAAACCAGAGGTGACTATGACACAGAAAACCCTTAGAAAGTTCATAGGATATGAGAGTCCATGGAAAGTTTATGTAGAACATAAGTAGTATGGTTACATAACTAAATTTTGAGTTAAAACCCAACTCCAAATTTTGAGAAACATAAAGTCCCTTCCAGAATTATGAACTCAATCTCTTATTTGCACGGAGAAATAAGAGTTCACAAAAATAAATCTCCAACATTATACTGGAGGCTCAAGCAAGTGTGTTAGGCCACAAAAAAAGAAACAAACAGCTTCCAGATTGGAAGAAAAGAAGTAAAAGTTTCTTTATTCGCAAAATATATAATCATATATAGAGAAATCCCAAGGAATTCACAGTAAACTACTAGAACTAATAAATGAGTTCAGTAAAGACTGAGGATACAAGATCAACATAAAAATTATATTTGTGTTCTAACAATGCACAATCAGAAAATGAAATTAAGAAATCCATTAACAGCATCAAAAAGAATAAAAAAACATGTAGAATGAATTGAACAGAAAAAGAGTAAGACTTGTATACTGATACATACAAAACATTGGTGGGAAGAATTGAATATTTAAATAAAGAAGACACATTTCATGTTTATAGATTAAAAGATCCAATATTTTCAAGACAGCCATTTCCCCCAACTGATATATGTGCAATGTATCCCATATCAAAAATAACATCCTTCCTTATTTCCTACAGAGAAATTAAACTCAAAATTTAAAGAAAAAGTTTGTTTTCCCTGTGTTTTCTTTCTCTCCTCAATTCTATTAACTCTAACTTGCTGCTTAGCAGAGTCAGAGCTCCAGCAGCTGTCACCGTCTTAGCTCTTTCATCATCTCAAAAGTGGAAGGAAATTATTCTGATCAAAATTTTCTCATTTGACATGAACAAACTACTAAGGGATCAAACTGATATATATAATCTTACTTTAGCAGTAGATTCAAGGACACAAAATTTCAGAAACAAATACTATAGAATAATGCATAACTACTACACAGTTTTACATACTCCTTACGCACGCACGCTAATTTCCCAAGACAAGACGGTATTCCCAGTGCCAGGTTACTCGTTATAATCCACAGGCAAATCACCATGAAACAGAGAATGCAAATAAGGGCAAGGATTCAAGGATAAAACTCTCAGTTCTTGCTCCACTCCCACAGGCACGGAAATTTGGTTAGGTTTTCTTCGTATCTTGGAGCCTCAGTTTCCTCATCTATAAATGGGCTTCTCCCGTGCTACAAGGACCTGTTCTGCTGCTACAGTCCATTTCATTTACTACTTGCTGCCGGACATAGCTCCCTGACCTGTCCCATATCCTCCAAGGTATGTGCAATGAGACAAAGGAGACTTCTAACATTTTGGAATCTTGATACTTCCTTTGTTACCACTTCTAAAAGGCCAAACCAAAGGAGGGAGACAAAAGGGTACCCAGCCATCTCTTTTTCTCCTGATCCTTAACGTAGAGGATCACTTTCTCTATTCTGCCTATACAAATCTCAATCATGTTTTGATGTTTGTATTTCCTGTATTATAGTATCTGTTGCACAGGGATAATAAATGAAAAAAAAACGAATAAAGGTGTTCATCAATTTATCAATCTACCTTTCACCAGTTTTGTTAGGATTTTTAAACTGGTGGCAAGAAAATAAAAATATAGACACAACACTCAAGAAAACCTTGAACACTGGGGCCCTGTAAGTTGTATACCCAGCATGCATTCAGTGCTAGACAATGTCACAGATACTTACCAAACCTCTTCAGGGATTGAGAGGATGAATAGTTAAACAGTTAGCTCAAAAATAATATTTTATTCTTAAATTTATTTTTTCATAAAACAATAATCTAAATAACAAAAAAACTAAATAAACTAAAACATACACATTAGTGTGAAATCATATTTCTATTTTTAGTGAAAAAGAAACTCAGAAAATATAATTAGAAAAGGAATGAATAATTTTAAAAAGTAATTATTTTTAAAGGCAATCATATTCATTTCTGTAAATAACAAACACAAAGAGGTGAAACAAAGAAACTCTGCTCACTAGGACTTCACCAAATTTATCCAAACATTTTGTTTTCCTATTAGGAGAATGAAAAGAAACCTATTTATTTGAGAATTTTTCAAGTTAATGATGAAACTATGCTGTCAGAAAGGCTGAAGGTATAGTTATATGTGGCCCCTCTTATTCAATATCATTTTATAATAAACTATATTAAGACTACACAATAGAAAACTAAGATACAACTCATAATTTTCTTGGACTACAATTATTAGACTTGAGAAAATTACTCAAATCCTTTGGCTAGTGTCTTGGAGATAAAAGAGAAAACTGTTTTTTTAAATGGTTGAATTTAACCAGCAAGTAATTACCGAGCACTCACTATGTACCAGGCCCTGTACAAGGCATCAGATAATAAGCAGTAAATCAGACAGATGGTATACTAATATCTTCATGAAATTTGCTGTCTACACTGATAAACTAGTTCTAATATTTAAAGCTAAATCCAATTTTACATTTCTTTCCCAGAGGGTTAGAGACAAATGGGATTTAAGTTATATTTTTCAATTTTTATTATTTCTTTGTTTTAGGATTGTTTTGAAAAGGCTATACAACATTATAAAGTTACTCAGAAAAAAAAAAGTCTAATAAAAGTTGCTTCTCAGAGTTTGCACTCTGAAAGAAACATAGATCAGAAATGGAGAAAGATCTGCAGAAATACATACACTATACGATGTAGAAAGAGACAGGCAATATTTTGCTAATTGAAGAATTAAATAGCACATGGATTCTTAGTACTGCTATACTATTAAATCTGTTTAAAATGTTGTTGAAATAATATTTACATTTTTTACAATAAAAATATACAAACCCATTGAAGAAAATTGTTTCTAGGATAGTTTCTGCTAAAAGTTGTCCTTTTAAGTAAGCTTACAACACTGCTATGAGCAAATCCAGATGGCTTTGGGGAGTTGTGCTATGTTGGTGAAATTCAATTTCTTGATAGAAGGACTGTCTTGATAGAAGCTGTCTTTCTGTAAAATAAAAATGATTTTAAAGTACTGAAAATATAAAATAAAGTCATATAAGCTAAAGGGAAACTGATAATAGTAACACAATAGTTGCTGTATATGGGAGGCAATGCTTCCTTGTAGAGTTATGGTGTTACTAGATGATCTTGGTGGAGAATTTCCCTAGATACATATGTGCCTTCAGTATTTGAAGAAGAAACCAGGACATGGACATAATGAATTTGAGTGTAATCAAAGAAAGTGATTTTTCTCAATGATTACAGACATAAATCATGGAGAAATAAGGTTTGGAAGGGTTTGTAAAGAACAATATGCAAACTGAGTGGATCTAATGCTAAGGAAGAAAGTGAAATTAGAAGCTAAGACATCTCTCTTCTGAGACAAGAGTAAGAGGAAGGGATTTGATAATGAGACAGGTTCTTAATGTATCCTGCACAAATTCCTCCTGAATGTGTTCTCTGAAAATGTAGCTCTTAGTGTTTAAATTTGGGAGTTTAAATAATAATTTTTATTTAATATATTAATCTATATTTCAGATGTTTTGCATGTGATTGTTGTAGTTTCCCCAACTCCTATTACATGAGTTGGATCTGATATAAATGAACCAGAGATCATTTCAGGTTGGACCAAACAAACGTTTGTTTCACTGGCCTCTACCAAGTCATGTTGTATTCTTCTTAATTCTTCCTTCCCTAGCAGTCATATATTCATGTGTCATAACCCAAGTAACATACATTCCCAAAGACATAGCCTTTAGTCTGAGTTCTGAATATAACTTAAATATAGGTCTTGCTTCTCCAAAATTTATACTTTACTTTCCCTCTAAATTATCTTATGTCTTCTTAGGGAAATAATCTACTCCTGATTAAATATTTTTGCTACAGAATTATATGAATGTTTACTTTCATTTATTTCATAATAAATGATGAAAATATAGCTTATTGTAATCAGAAAAAACTGTAATCAGAGAAAATATGAGAGTTTACAAATCTCATTTCAAAAGTCTTTCTCAAGAAATGCCTGATGCTTTAACTTTTGTGCATAGGTGGTATATGGATCACATTTCATATAACAACAAAGTGGCAGTAGAAGCAAGATAAATTTGTCATTCAGTCTTATTGGTAAGTGATAGCCAAATGCAAGATAAATGCTATTAATATTAAGTTAACCATGTACTACCCAACAATCATAATTTTTGGAACTGAGTAGAGCACTATATCTAGTTAGGAACAGCCAGACACATCTCTATGGTAGTTCTTAATTTGCGTTCTAAGCCTGCCAAGTCTAAGTTTCACGTTTATGCTGTTCTAGAATAAACCAGTTGTTCCAATTCCAGAGTACACATTGGAATTTCCTGAGGAGATATTGAAAAATACCAATGTCCAAGCCCTATCACAGACTAATAAAATCAGAATTCCTCTAATAGAGGCCTGGGCATTATCAATATTTTTAAATCTCTTCCCACGTGATTCTGATGCTGTGGGAGTATGAGTGAGAATGTATTGATTTTTTCCTCTACCTTGACTCTGTATAAGTCCTTTAGAGCCTTCTGAACGTCAGAATATCCTTTCAACTGCTCTAAAATGAATATTAAACAAGACTTTAAAAGAACTGATGACACTTAAACAAAAGAGTCTTTTGTTGGTCTTTGTTTTATTATTGGGATTTATAAAAATTCACTTTGCCATCAGGTTTCCTCCATATTCAAGAGAACAAATTTGAAAGCAGAAAGCAGCAATAACAATAAACTAAATGCCTAATCATAAATAATGTTACTCTTAATAATTTTGTTTCCCTTTCCTCTCATTGACTAAAACTAAAAGTAACCAGTAAAATCTGTTTTTATGCCAGACTAAATGCTGCTGAAGAGTAGAGGAGGAAGGCATGCCTTTTGACACATGCATGTGCACAAACACACACACACACACACACACACACACACACACACACCGTGCAAATGTTCAGTTCCCTGTAGACATTTGGAAGTTGTCAGCAGTAGCATAATGAAAGTCCTAATTATTAAAATTACTCTTGTGTGGAGAGTGCTTTAGAATAAGATGCCAACAGGCATGCAATATGTTAACTGCACCATGATCTTTCTATTTTTAAAAAAGTGAAATTTTTAGGAATATTCCACTGGCTTTCATCAAAACACCTCTCTCCAGGCCGGGCGCAGTGGCTCACGCCTGTAATCCTAGCTCTCTGGGAGGCCGAGGCGGGCGGATTGCTCCCAGCCTAAGCAAGAGCGAGACCCCGTCTGTATTATAAATAGAAAGAAATTAATTGGCCAACTAATACATATAGAAAAAATTAGCCGGGCATGGTGGCACATGCCTGTAGTCCCAGCTACTCAGGAGGCTGAGGCAGGAGGATCGCTTGAGCCCAAGAGTTCGAGGTTGCTGTGAGCTAGGCAGATGCCACGGCACTCACTCTAGCCTGGGTGACAAAGCAAGACTCTGTCTCAAAAAAAAAACACTTCTCTCCATCCCACTGACATATACCCTCTCACACATTCCAATGAAATTACAATAAATTCTGATTGCATAAGGAATATAATGCCACAAAGATATATTTTATTATTCAGTTCATTCAAAAGATTTCCTTACAACTACAAAATCTACTACAGTCTAAATTTCTCATATTTTTATACATCATCACATTTTACCAGTTCTCAAATCATTTAGAGTATCACGAGCTGCTGTGATTAAATATTATAAATTTAAAAATATTTTCAAATCAAATTTCTCTTAGGTCCCAAGTAGAGCTATCTAGACCTTGTTCTACCAGAAACAATTTTATATACTATATTCTAATATGGATGTATAAATACATAATTGTCCTAGGCAATTCAAGTCAAAATATTTCATGGTCCAACATGGGCCTCTGTGAATCACAGAAATGTCAAATAGACAAGAGCTATAGTGTATAAAAGGGAAACGGTTGGTTTATGTTGCTTCAGGAAGATGAACCAGGGCCAATGGTGTACAGTTGCATGGAAGCAAATTTGGGACCAATATAATAGAAAATGAACAACTAGATCTTACATAAAAAGTGGGCTGCCTTGTTTAGCATGCCTGTCACTCTTGTAGTTGGTTCTCAGTGTGTCCACTCTGGGAATTCACCATCTTTGACAATAATAAAGCTACAGACAGGAAGTTATAAAATACTGATAAGTTGTCAGGCTACTTCATGTTTCATGGAGTGAATATCCAACATCATTCTAAGAAATAGTGAAGCACCAGCCCAAACACAAGGGCTCTTGTCTCTGCAAACTACAGGCTGACTGCTTAACCAGGCCAGGAGAGGTAATTCTTGATAAATATTTGGGTTTTTAAATGCCTGTCCTTCCAGCTCTCAGGCAACCTTCTGTTGTGGCCAGATAAGCATGAAGAAAGAACATAGTCAACTCTTTATCTCAACGCAGAGGCAGCAAAAAGGGATAAATAAATAATAAACATTAAGTACTAACAAATGTGGCTATTTATGGTGTAAATAAACTAAATTGCCTTGCTATTTTTCTGTCATCACATTTCCCCTGCATGCCAAACAATGCAATATATAAATTAAAGGCAAGCTTTTCTTAGTTAAAAAGAAAGAGATTATATTATCTGTGTCTAGTAATCTTATACAATGCCAAGTAGTTTTGATCCTATTTGTAAGAAAAAAATATATATTTGCTTGATGTAAACGGGAGAATTCAGAAAGACACTCATGGCACTCTAAATTATTTTCATGCCATGCTATTACATTGAGCCCATACACTAAAAACTGTTACCATGGGCAATTAAAAAGAAGAAGAAATATTATGTAATTTGGAAATTAAACAAACAGACAAAAAGATGCTTTTATTTTGAATGACAAAACAGCTTTTCTTTCAACCAATGTGAATTGCAAGAACATTTGTTGAAAAGAAAGTAAATTAATGGGGTAGGATTTATAGTTATGTTGTCTTAAACTGAGCATCATTCCCTCAATGTTCAGAAGCTGCTGACAATGAGTAGATGTATTAAGGGTGATAAATGTCTGTGATTCAGTGGTATAGCATACCAAGTGTCTCAGGAGCAAAGACATTGTAGAAGTACAATAATTTCCCTCCAGCCTCAAAGCTATAGCAATGCATTACTGATCTCTCATGGCCTCTTAATTTTAATGTCACCATGATCTGTTTATCTGAGAGTTCAGAATGCTACTGGGTCTCCTTATCTCAGTTGTGTGCTGAAATCAGGTCTCTGAATCTATAGGGAGCAACCTGATTCACTAGGAAGATGAAAAACCTATAAACAAAAAGCAAATGCAAGTGGCCTTTCTGTGAATCCCCTTGATTTTCCTTCCTCTGGCTGACTGGAGCCTCTATCACCCTATTTCATTCAAGCCTTCTAGAGCAGCAGTCCCCAGCCTTTTTGGTTCCAGGGACCAGTTTCATGGAAGACAATTTTTCTATGGACTGGTGGTTGGGAGGGATGGTTTGGGGATGATTCAAGCACATTACATTTATTGTGCACATTATTTTTATTATTATTACATTGTAGTATATAATGAAATAATTATACAACTCATCATAATGCAGAATTTAATGCTGGCACTCATCTGACAGGAGGTGGGGGCTCAGGCAGTGATGGGAACAATAGGGAGCCGCTGTAAATACAAATGAAGCTTCCCTTGCTCACCCACTGCTCACCTCCTACTGTGCAGCCCAGTTCCTAACAGGTCACAGATTGTACTGGTCAGGAGCCTGGGGGTTGGGGACCACAGTTCTAAAGAACAAAGAGGCTAACCTTGGCTTCTTTGTTTCTGAATTTTGGCAAAGATTTATATCAGGGCACCTCAATAGAAGTTAAAGTCTAATGGGAAAATGTTACATCCTCAGGAGATCACACCTGCCAAAGTGATTCACTTCAAGTTGTAGGGATACAAGGACATTATACCTCAAGAATCTGGCTTAGGACTATGAAGGTGGCTCTGTATGTTAATGTGGCTCTTGAACTTTGCAAGAAATTATACCC